TTCCCGCAAACGGCGGCTTGCTTTTAGAGACAAATATATGGAAAATCAAAATCTTAATTTGCGGCTATTTTCGCGAGACTTCATTTCTCAAATTTGATCGGTAAACTGGAAGGTCTGGTATCTTCAGTTTGTAATTCATAGAAATTGCACAATGTCAACCTTCCTCAAATTATCGAGCATCATTTTCTCAACTTTTCCCATACATTCACTGTACATTTTGCGTTCGCCCCAGCAGTTTTGCACCCCCGGCAAAATGGCGGCGTTAACCTTGAAAGGGTCTATTCCTCTATTCGCTCCGACAAAGGGCTAACGCTCAAAACGTCAGCTTTTATAATAGTAACGGTGTCCAATTTACCATTTCAACTTCGTTGATATATTCAAAATCTTAACCAGACCACGGCGAATAAGTCAGTCCAGTGAGATTCTTAAATGCGTATTAAGAACGTTCATTATTATTATTATTATTATTTATCCACGTCCTAAATTAACTAGATCTTGAAACTATCAATTATAAAGGGAGTAAGTTTCTAAAGAAAATGTCATACGGCGTCAGTGTGGGGTATATTACAAGATAATTTGCCTTTATTAATTGAGTTGATAATGTAAATTACTACCGTTAATTAAGAGTTTGTAAAGCTGATGACTCGAGCGTTAGCCCTTCGTCAGGTGAGTTAAGTCGACCGCTCCAGCTTCTTGTTCATTTTTTTCGTGTCCTTGACTCTGGGTACTACTGAGTAGACCTGTTTTCTGTTTCGCTTGCCTTTTTTTTACGTTTAATGGTTTTTCGAAAAGTCTCTAAAGCAATGAAATTATCATCCATAGCCATGTCAGTTTTGATGTTCGATTTTGAGAGCTGGCTTGGCAAGCTTGCCACCAGTTTTTGATGCTTGAAGAACAGTTTCAGGAAAAAGGAGGAAATTAAAAGAATTAATTTCCAAATACTCACTGTTTGGTTTCTCCCACGGCCATCTCCATGCCTGGACACAGGTCCCCAAAACTAAGACAAAAATGATGGATTTCATGCTGATTTCAACTGAATGAAAGGTGCGTGTATTAGCTTTTTAAAGCTGTGAGGATTTGAGTTCGGTTAAAAGCGCGTCAAAATCAAACAGATGTTTAAACAAATGCGTTACAAGGGCTAACTTAGGGGGGCCCTGGCATACATGTGACCGTTCATTTTATGAACAACAAAAAGCATAATTTATTATGATAAAACAAACTGGCGTGCTCGCCAGAACCGTGAAGACGCTACATGTTGGACAACCCGACCGCAGATCCTTATAACCAGGATCATAACGATTCTAATGAAATGAGAACAAAGATAGGACAATCACAGCTATTGAATCATGTCGGTGCTTTTTGTTATCATTTAGTTTGTTTAGCTGCGTAATTCTACTTTTCAAAACAGGAAAACTAAGCTCGTTATTAGAGTGATCAATTTCTAGAAACTTATCGTATTACGCTAAATTAAAACGTTCCGCTTACATCCCCATTCGCAAGCCCTTAAAATAATTTTCCTCTCTCCAGGCATTGTTAGGGACCTTAAGCAACCACGACGGCGACGGCAACTAGGACGTGGGAAAACAAGAGATCTAATTGGCAGAACAATAGCTCAGCACGTACGTTTTGAAACTTTGTACATTTCTTAGCCGTCCTATGCAAAACAACAACGTGAAATCGCCAAAATTTGCGTCGTCTGCGAACCGAAACCGCGACGGCAAATTATTTTAATTTCCATTTGGAACTCAACG